AAAATCAAGCTTTGTACATGTATATATTTTGAACCGTTAGTTATATTGATTGATTGATTGTATATTGTTTAACGTCCCTGTCGAGAATTTTTCACTCATATGGAGACGTCACCGTATACGGTGAAGGGCTTCAAATTTTGACCTTTACTCGGCACTCAGGGCCATTGAGCAGTAAGGGATCTTTATCATGCCAACACCTGCCGCTGACACGGGACTTCGGTTTTTAAGGTCTCATCCGAAGGACCCGCAACTTTCACTTCAAAGTGCCGAGCGCATGGTGAAGGAACAGTTGCTACCCATTTTTTATCGACTTAGGTCAGTCGCGGCCGAGATTCGAGCTCACGACCTCCCGATCACGTAGCGAGCGTTAATTCAAGAATTGTATACATTTACCTTGTTGCAAACCCTTTTCTAGGGTAAAATATTTGTTACCTTGACTTGAGTCTGACCTATTTAAAACAAATCATAACATTGGACATAACTTTTAAACCGTACTACGTGTATGAGTTTTCGCAGATATATGTCTTGTGACAGGACAATCCGGTGGATACAATTTTGACCCTGACCTTGGAGTTGGACATACTTTTGAAATTTCAACCTTTGCCAAAACATTTTGAACAGTTAATGTTAGAGCTTGCACATGTTTCCTCGTGACAAGACGCACTCATCACGCCATAAAGTTTTACGCTTTGACATTGACCTTGAAATTTGACAAAATTTTGAAGAACTTTACAATAATTTTTTACGGTTGGTGCAGTTTTCTTTTCAAGGGTGTTTCCCTTGTGACAATATCTTTCTTTGGATGACATTAATTTTGATTTGTTTACCTTGACCTTGGCTTGTAAATTGCATTTACCAAACCTTAACCTCTGCTTGATGCCATAAGGGGGGAGGAGGTACTAATGCTTTTCAATCTTATCTTTTTCTGTCAGCCTTACAGTTGATAAAAGCAGTTAACATGAAAATTAAAAAAAATTCAGTCATGATTTTTTTAGATACATTTAAATTGTTGCTGCAACACATGACTTACAACTTAGTTATGATTTCTTGTTACTTAACAAAAAGTTGCAAAAATATTGATGTGATGTTGATGAAATTAGGGGATCATATCTACATTATAAAATACTAGTATCATTATATTTAATTATGAAAATTATTAAAATATCTCCACGCATTCATTAATTGCAGCAATTGTTACTGCAAAAAATCTTTGTACAGTGATCAAAGTCAACAAAGATTTAACAGGGCGGTTTATTTATCTAAAGTATATCATATTGTTTCAATTTCCCTGTAAAAGTCTACAAAATTTTGATGTCAAATACATTTCAATGGCAGATGTCACTGACTTTATTTTATCATCTTGAGGCGGTTACGTGACATTGCAGTGCGATCAATGAATGATGAAGCGATGGCTTGACAGTAGGATGATGCGATAACACGATGAACCTCATGTGAGCTTAGCTTCGTCTTTATCGTACAATCACGATATCAACATTGCTCCAGTACTCTAGCTTTGATTAAAGTCCACAAAGCTTTAAAAGGGCGGGTATAAACCATTCAAAGTACAAAGAGATTTTCTAATCTTATTTTATTAGTCAAAAAATATCTGATATTATATGCATTAAATGGCAGATGACACATGTTTTTGGCATATTGAAGTGCAACACAGCAACACAACATGCACAAGGCGGTTACACGTTTCTGTAAAAATTGACCAAAACCTCGATGGTGCAATAGTAATCATTTATATATTTTGTCTTGGTTATTCGTAAAAATTAGCATTTTAGATTGGCAATTACATTGAAGATCATATACAATAATAAATACAATAATAATAATTGATATATTCATTTTGTATGTTAGTAAAATAAAACATTTTTAAATGCCAATTATTTTATATTTCATTTACAATATGCATTTGTGCATTGATTTATCAAAATCGTCTGAGAATAAAAATATTCTTAACTAGTACTTGAATTAATATCAATAATAAATTTAAAACATTACATTATATTGAAAACTAGAGGTAATGTGAGCAATGAGCTCACTAAATAAAACCCCCGCCGCCAATAAAATTATAATGGTTAAGTCCATGTTTATCTCTAGGAGATACGAAAAAAGTGTCGTATCAAAGTGTAAAATAGGAGGCGCACAATGGCATTATGCAAAAAAAAAAAACTGTGAAAATATCATTTAATTTTATTTACCTTCAATATTATAGAAAAATGGCAGTGTCAATGTTTTGCTATGAGAAACCCAAAATATGTTTCCAATCAAAAGGTAAAATAAGAGGTCACAATAACAAATTGTTACAAAGAAATTGTAAAAGTTTATTTAAGTTTATTCAGTGGTATAAAAGGAGTTACGGATAACAGATGGGTACCCCAAAGCCTAACAGACGGCGCGGACGGACGGACGGATGTACAGACGAATGGTCGATAGAGAGACATAACGATGTTCATATACCCTCCCGCTTTCCAAACAGGGGGAACAGGAATATATCATATTACTGTTACATGTCGTAATTTATTTTTTTTTATGTAACATATCTGATTTAGATAAATCGTCTTTATGAGGTTTGCATCCTGTAAACTAACTTTCATTCGCGTGCAAGAAATATTCGCAAGATGCGCGACCTACAATTAGTCGCAAATATTAATCACCGCGAATAATTTCTTTTGCTTTGTTTTTGTAGAAAATGTTTCCTTATTCGTAAAAATTAATCGCCCGGATTTATTTTAATCTGACGAATCGCGAATAAAAGATTACGCGAATTATAGTTGGTTTACAGCATATATGTAATATGTAGTATTTTGTCTGCGATATAACAATAATGTTAGCAAAATTTAATTTTTGCAGCATAATTTATATGAACATTTTTAGGCGACATTAGGAATTTGAATTTATAGAGACTTTAGAGAGATATTATTGTATATTTCAAAATAAGTCATTCATCAGACATTTATGTCATTTTTAAGCATGCACATTTGACAACAATATCATTTTAACAACAACCACGTCCTAACGCAACGATTTGAAGAGATATATATAGCTCTTCGCTATAACATGAATCCACTGTTTAATTATGGTCGATAGTTAGATGACGCGATTAATCGATGGTGTGATACCGTGACGATCATGATTTGATTGCATGATGTAGTGATAGCGCAAATTGTAAAAGATTGCGCCATCGTCGTCGCACTATCCCTCCATCAGTGCCGTTGCACCGTCGTAATACCATTTTCGCCTCATCGTATCACGACTTTCACCCTACCGTATCAACCCAAATAGTCTGGTCCTGATTTTTTTTAAAAGAAGGCTAGAAATAATTCTAACGGCAAACAATTATTATTTGGTCCAGGATAGTTTTTTAATCATTTCGAGTATGCTGAATCCGAAAAAAATATGCTGGCCTTCATGAAAATGGCGCAAAAGAGGTCAAAATGGCGCTTCAAAATGGCGGACATCCATTTTTTCTAATTGTTTCTTAATGTCGTTCAAAATGGAAAAAGTAATAAGTGAATATCTCACTGAGTGTTATAAAACTATAAAAATGATAATAGAATGCTGACATTATTAGTTTAACTCAGAAAAAATGTCGGTTCATTTCATGCATAAAATGGCCCTGTAGATACATTGTATACCAATTTATTGATCAACACTTGATTTTCTATTTGAAGTACTAAATTGAAATAAAGACTTTGTGCTTTCATATCATATAAAAAACTTTCTTCTAAAAGTCCAGGTCTACTGGCTTTATGAAATTGCAATGTTCTTGACTTTTTAGGTAAATAGGAAATATGAGCACACTCTCTGATCTAAAAAATAAAACATGTCCATTAATCCTCAGAAACAGTTCTATCATTTACTAGTTGCATATTTTAGATCAGAGGTTGCGCTCTATGTTAAATATCAAAAATTGCTTTAAAATTGGCCGTTTTTGTAGACTTTTTCAGAATATGAGGAAATTGACGCATTTCATGACGCCATAATGCATTGACTAGCCAGAAAATGACGTCATTTTTGATAGATAAGCAGTCACCAGAGATCTCAGTGATATTTTATGCATTAACTAATATGTTCTACGGTGCGAACTTTGGGGCGAGCCCAGTAAATTACTATCAAAAACATTTAGGCCTACACCGCTTTGACTTGCATTGCCTATCCTCAGTTCATTAAAAAAGAAGAAAAAAAAAATATTTTAAAAAAAATCACTTCCCAGCCATCGGGATCGAGATTCCGAACTTTTCGGAAGTTTCCGACAAAATCGGAAATACACGAGTTGTTAAGTGACGAAAGTATGACGTCAAATAAAAAGTCCTGTTGAGTTAGAATGCAAATGATAGTTTTGTGGCATGGAGATTGCATTAAATCGTTGTTTGTAATTTTTTTCAAGTAAGTTGTTGCTATGTTTTAGCCACCATGTTGTTATGCACCGCAAAGGATTATTGGGATTGAAGAATGTTTTCACGTGGACTCATGAAAATTTCTTGGAACAATGTGCAGATTTCAACCTGAATTTTCTCTGTTCGTACACGTTAGTCTACTGAGCTCGCTGCGCTCTCTAAAACTATGCTGTTTCAGTTTTCAGAAATTCACAGGGCAAATTAAGTCAGCATTCTATTATCAATTTATAGTTTTATTACACTCTGTGAGAAATCACACATTATTTCTCGTTTTTGAACGACATTAAGAGACAATTAGAAAAATTTGATGTCCGCTATTTTGAATCGCCATTTTGACCTCTTTAACGCCATTATCATGAAGCCCAGCATATTTTTTCGGATTCAGCATACTCGAAATAGGTTTTAAAAAACTATGCTGGAACAAATAATAATTATTTGCCGTTAGAAGTATTTTTTTTTATAAATCGGACCAGACTAAAATTTCGATCGTACGATGATGCTGTTATAAGTTGCACGGGCGTATCTGATTCCATACCCATTCACAATTTGTTATTTAACAATATTTATAGTGAGCTTACCATCAATTTGATATACTTCTAGATCTCGGACAGAAGCCTCGTTATTATAAATGGCCTCCTCCTCGTCTCCTCCCATGATATAAGTTGTAGAATCATTGCCGTAATTACATCTATTTAGTTGGTAAACTCCATTAGAAGCGCTTATGTCTTTTTCGAAATATGGCAAATCATGCGACTCACCAAATGATGGTCCGTAATTGTTTCTGCAATATATTGCATATCCACATTTGTCTGCTTTGATTGGATATTTTTTCGCGACAGATTTCCCGTTGTATCGCAACTTGAAAAGAAAGGCCCTTTGGTCCCACGCAAAATAGCCATTACTTGAGCTGTTCCAGTTTTGTGAAGTGTATCCCCCATACACAGTGTTGTTGCCATTGTACATGACGGTTATAGTTGGACCTTTACAGTCGCATTTGGTATGAAACGTCCATGGATTACATCCATCACGACTCATCTTGTATAATAACGAAAGCGGAGCCTCTACGCCTATCCATTGCAGCAGAGTGGTTTTGTCTTCCTCATTAAGTTGTGTGTCCATTATGTTTCGTTAAAAGGACAATATTCATTAAAAAGATATAAATAAAACGTCCAATGCTTTACTTTTTAGTAATTTTAAAGTGGTGGATTACGAAATACGATACTCGTTGTACCAAATGAAAATTATGATAGATTCTATCGCATTTTAACAATAAAGTGGTTAAATTAAAAAAAAAAGATAAGTCATTTCACACTAATCAGATGATTCGTGTACTTTGGACGATAATAACATTGCACAGCGATATCATCTTAAGGGCAGATTATTCTCAGCTTTTCTAAACATTAAAATATGGTCACTCTTTATAACTTTTATGTGTAGAAATGCTAATGAGTCAGCAGTCTTTTCAGTTGCATTTTCATTAGCTTTTTAAATTAGAAACAATAGAGGGTTTAATCAGTATAACATTGTCATGTTCCAAGAATGATCAGATAAGTTCTTACATGTTATATTTATAGGATGGTGGACGAGATATGAATGTTTCCGCCCTAGCACCACCTGTTCAAAAGTTATGGCCAAAGAAAATTTTTTTTCAAAAGTAAGTCAAACTAGTCTACTAGGTCAAGGTGAAAGAATCAAGGTTGTTGTTTTCTAAAGAAGTCTTGTCACAAGGATTACATTTTTAAGGTTTGAAAGCCCTAGTTGGTACCGTTAAAAAGATATGGCCATGATTAAAGTTTTTAAAAAGAATACAAAACTCCTTAATCAACGGCAAAGAGTCAAAGTGTACGGAAGGGTCTTGTCACAAAGATGACATATTTGGAGCTTAAAATCCCTAGCCCTTACCATTAAAAAGTTATGGCGAAGGTTATTTTTTTCAAATGTAGATAAATCTACCTAAGTCAAAGATTTAAAGTTGTTTAAATTTAATGAAAGGACTTGTCGCACAAAATACATATGAGAATTATGAAAGACCCAGCTCCAACCGTTTTAAAGTTATGGTCAAAGTAAAAGAGTGGTATTTTTTGTAAATGTAGGTCCAATTCCAAGGTCAAGAGGTCAAATTGATGGCACCCAAAGGAAAGGTCTTGTCACAAGAAAAACACCTATGAAATATGAAAGCCATAGCCCCATACACTCAAAAGTTATTTTGAAGGTTAAAGCTTCAGTTTGGACAGACGAGCAAGGCAAAAACGTTATACCCAAAATTTCGTTTACGGGTGCATATAAATTCTTCTGGAGTTACATTGTGGTTAATTTTATCTTTTACCCGTACAAATTGTAGCATTTGTTTAATTGTTTTATTTGTTTATACCTTTCCATTTCATTTGACTTGTTGTTTTAAGCATCATAATACTAGTTGTCATTTTTTTATCTTGAATATAAAATTGTGTACGTAATATGAAGATAATGCACAGTATTTAATCTCAATGTCATTCAAACTTTGCACTTTATTTACGTTTTGGAAAAACCACTTTATGTATTACTTTTATCTTATCTTTTTATGACGTCCTTGTTTAATAAACTCTTAACTTATTAGATATTTATGTGTGTACCCCGAAAAGAATATTTAAGCCAGTGCAGATACTTTAAGAAAAAGTGGATGTTACATGGATTTTTACACTCTTTTTTAAAGTCATCATTTTGAATATTCTTTGTTTTATAAAAATGATCTAGAGATAACAGCCTTCATTAAAGATATGTATGCCGTGTTAAACAGTATTTTTGCACAGCTGAAACCGAACAAAAATTTTTGGAGTATGATAAGCTACCAAAAATGAAGCATTCTTGCAAATTCGACGAAATGTTATTCGGTATTAACAAAGTACTGGTCAGGAAAAGAACACGATATTCTCATGCATATTTATAAAGGATTGACGTTTATCCTGGATCTGCGCGGGAAAAGCATCGCGAGAATCATCAGGTCGAGGAAAATATATTTTGTCACGTCTGTTCAGTGAGGGACACAAATAGACCAATCAGCTCAATGAGTTGCATTTAATGCATTTATGGGTTACTGCATAAAATACTATACGTGTTTTTCAAAAAGGCTAGTTTTTTAAATCGCTCTCAGAAAGACTTGATGCATTATGTACATTATTATCTACTAATCCCATGCTCATATTTGCATACAAATGATTAACAATGATGAAAATTAAAGTTTTCCCCCACTCCATTGTACAGGTCCGTTTGTTTAGAGTTCCCCCGTGCTGTACTGCTAGTGGACATTTTCGGTTGGGTGAACATTTACGGATCTTCAGTATGGAGCGCATTATGCGCAAAAAATATTTTATGTCAAGTACAATGTATGGAAAGTAATTTAATTAAACTACTATGTTTACACCCTGAATGGGATATCGTCAATTATCCCTTTAATTGGTTTTTTAATATGAACTACATAACATATGTAGATGAAACTTACATACCATACATCTTGCCTTCTTAGAAATATAGTTGGGCTAATAAAATAAAATTGGTCAAGGAATTCCAGGCCTCTAAAAACTATTCCAGTTTGAGGGCACAACCAAGCATTTCGATTAACACCTTTAAGAAAAATTAATTCAGGTAGGTAGCATCGTTTTTTTTTTTAAATTTTTACTCATATGGAGACGTCACCATTTGCCGGTGGAGAGCTGCAAATTTTGTTCTATACTCGGCACTCAGGGCCATTGAGCAGGGAGGGGTCTTTTTCGTGCCAGCACCTACTGCGACACGGGGCCTCGGTTTATACGGTCTCATCCGAGGGGTGGGGGGATAGAACAGTTAGAATAAAAATCAACTAGCTCGAAGAAATCTGGCAAGTAAAATTGGTTCCAATATCTTTCACTACTAAAAATGACTAAATTTTATTCATTCACTACAATTTACTGCCAAACTTCAAATTTCACTTTCGAATTAGCTCGAGCCTATGCTGAAAACCTACTTGCAAGATTTTTTATATTATTTTCAAGGGGTCAGAAATACTGTATTTAGTAGTATTCTGGTTTTGGCATTCGGTATATTGTGCAGATTTATACATGATATTCTATGGAATACTTTTTGTTGTTTTGAACCATTAAGAAATGCAGAATGGAATGTATCTAATAACCATTTTGATTGATCAAATTATATAATTTGTTTGTATAAGTTATTTCATTTTGGCACAACATGGTTTCCACACTTTTTTATCCATAGTCGCTGACATCTGTAGAAGTTCACCCAACCGAAAATGCCCATTGAAAAGACAATTGCACGTGATTATTCCTCGGTACAAAAAGTAACCAACTCTGAGGTGCTCTCAATATTGACAATCCCTAATTCACGTGTTTGTAGTTATATCGTAGTAGACCATCATGCTTTTCGGTTCATTCACGAGATTGGACCATTGTTTGCTGTAAACATGCGAGACAATGTGATCATGAATATTTCAATAAGAGGCGGTTTTTTATCCGACACGGAGAGAAAATAATTTTTACCAAATAATATTTCATAACTTTTAAAAGTGATGGAGGGGCATTGTCTTATTTGCAGAAAGTATATAACTTATATAACTTGATGAGACACCACATATATTTATTACTTTTAAAATAAAACACTAATACGGCATATATATCTTTAATTGGCTGTATTTCGAATGACGGGTTCATACCTCGAGGATATGCATATTAAGGAGGATATCTATACATGTACCTATGAAGTAAAATTGAATTTGTTGCATGCCTTTGTTTCTAATAATAGGCTTAATATCTAATAAAACAAGCATCATGAGAGTATTGCATAAGCAAAACATGTCCCCTACCGGGATCCCCCTTTTCCCTTTAGAATACAAGCTCGTTTGGAACATTAGTTTATAGCATCACAAACCCGAACATAATCTCAATTATTAAAAAATTAAAATGCCATAATACTGTAAAAAGATTCAGAAAGAAATGAAAATTTGATCTGTCACTCATCAAGATACATTCACAAACCAAAAACCAGCTCAATATCTGCAAGCGTTACGGAAAAGGTGCGGAAAACCAAAAAGTCAGACTGACATAAGGTCAGCTAGCCGGACGGACAGACCGAAAGACAGACAGACAGACTCAGAGGGAATCTATAGTCCCCTACGATTTCACCTGTAGGGGACTAATGAGGTTCAAATTTACTTCAATTTATTTTTGAAATATTTTAACTAAAACAGCATTTTCTTGAGAATAGTTGGTTAGGTTAAATTATGAAACAAATGAATGAAATTGAAAAACTGACATCAATTTTAAACATTACAAAAATTCAAGTGTGAAAAGATCCGCTGCAAGAGTCGGCTCAAATACTTTGGTACTGTTTTACTATATACCTAATGTAAATTGTTCAATAACTTGCACAGGTATTGAAAAGGATGTCAAACAAGGACATCGACAGCATTTCGTATTGTATTGTTTCTCAAATGAATTTAAGCAAAAACCATCACTTGATCACGTCAAAGAAAATTAATGTATTTCGTGAATTCATAGTGATGAGGGATTTACTCAAATATCGTTTTTTTTCCAACAAGTATGTATTATCCTGTGTTAGAGATAACATGACATGTAAATGGTCAAAAAGGGTTAAAAGAAAAATCCTATTACGAAATTCCCTCTTCATTTTATTTAATTTGCATGTTTTTTATACACACAGCTAATCAACGTTGATCAAACTTCTGAGTACAATCAACTGAATGTCAAAGCGTGGATTTCGTTTTGAAGTTTGAATTTTACCGGTTATAACTACTCATAAACATGTTTACAAATCGTGTATAGACTACCCTCTGGTTGATATGAGGATGATACATATATCTCGTCTGGTTTAATTTGCATTTTTGGGGGATATAGCAAATAAACAATTATTATTTCGCTAGAATGCATATGTGTTCTTTGAAAAACTGAAAATCGGACCTGATCATTGAAGTTCAAATAGGTTTTAGAAAAGGATATGGTACAATAAATAATAAATTGATATTAGATTTTTTGTGTACATTTGTTTTGTTTTGGAAGAACAAACTTTATTGTGCATCTATTTATTTTAAGAAGGCGATCTGGTTTGTTGTCGAAAGTGTGAAAAGACGA